AAATCTTCAATAAATAAATTAATTAATTAAAAAAATCCAGAGAGAAAGAGAGAGACAGACAGAGACACAGAGAGAGAGAGAGAGAGAGAAACCTTTTTAAAATACCACATTGTGCAATAATGTCCCATTTGAACGGACTTGTTCAATTATTATGCATCTATATTTAAAGGTGACAGTCCTACTTAGATCTCTGGTGATGCTTTTATTTACTGATATTTGGAAACAAAAGTGTCTCCAACTCAGGTTTTCTATACATTTATTTATAAATGTACATACATAAATGTGATTCCTGATCAGAAGTAATGTCATGGCATGAGTTCATGTCATTTTCTTTCTTACAGGTGAATTGCAATTAATTTGTGCTTTTTGCATTCATATCCTATTTAAATTTAGCATGTAGGTTGTAGGTTTTGGTGATAAAACCAAAAATAATGTAATGACTCAGATTTAGGAATTTAATGATTAAAAAATATAAAAGGCAACTTTGATTAGTGAGACATTAATGAAGCACTTCAATACACAGCTACCATCTGATGTGTTCTAAAGGAAATCTAATTATTTTCAGGTCATCCACATTCTCATTTATTTCCTCTTAGTTCTTAATCACTCTGAGAGACTGCTAAGCTTTTCTCTAGAGGAAATTCAAAGTCAGAAGAAAACTAGGTCTGTTTTAAGTCAATCCTACACGGTCTATCGAACTGTCTTTTTAACTTGCCTGCCCTAGCTCACTCAGAGATGACTGTTCTTTCATCTTGAGAAACAGAGGGTATGAGAAAATGCATTTGTCTTCCACTTGGAATATTTTAGTCTGAGCTAACAAAAATGATATGATTTGGCTTTTGAAGACTAGCAGTAGCCAGGAAATATGTGTAATGTACTGTATCATCATGTTAGATACCAAAACCCTGGGCATCAAAGTAACCTTAAATGCTTTACTCTTGATTTCCAAGTCTTTAGGAGAGTTCTGCAAGTGTGTTCAAATCACTAATTGTCTCATCACGCAGCCCCTTATGTCTGTTCACGAAAGCACAAGATGGCATGCAGCTAAATGATATTCATTTTTAATCATTACTATTTATAAGTTATCAAAAGTGAATATTATCCCTCCTGTACAGTTGTATGAATTTATATGAAATTATGGGAGGTGGGGCTCATTTTCTTTAAAGGTGTAGCTACCAGAAGGTCAGCTTCACTCAAGTAGCTGACCCCACACCCAGAAATATATAAATAAAACAATTGGAGTTGATGATTATCAAGTTTAAAATAATACAAGACAACACAAGGTTCCAGGGGTGGGTGTGGAAGGAGCTTAGATAAGGAATTAAGGTAAATATGATAAAAATGTCATGTGAAATTTAAAAAGAATTTAAAAAATTAAATAATAAAAAACTCAGAATATAATGCAATGTTTTTCCTTGTAATGTACTTCTATAAAGCAGCTGTTATTTTGTTGTTATCCTAAATTATTAAGGAGAAAATGGAGAATAACCTAAGGTAAAGCAATTTTGCTAGACATGGAAAATATGTGATGAAGAACCTCTGGGCAACCCTCAAATGTTCTGATAAAATTTTAAAACTCGGGGGCTGGAGAGATGGCTCAGAGGTTAAGAGCATTTCCTGCTCTTCCAAAGGTCCTGAGTTCAATTCCTAGCAACCACATGGTGGCTCACAACCATCTGTAATGGGGTCTGGTGCCCTCTTCTAGCCTGCAGACATACACACAGACATAATATTATATACATAATAAATAAATATAAAAAAAATTAAAACTCTATTTCGAAAGTATTTATTTAGCACATAGGCAGATGTATAGTCGGGGTATGTGTGTGTGTGTCCCCATAATACATAAATACCTGGATAAATCAGCATTATAAATAACTATTCACTCAAATCAACAAGCTCACTAAATCATTATTTTATTCACACAATGATTTTACTGAGTGCTTTTTCTCTAGCAGGTCTTGCCTAGAAAACATTGTCAAACCTGCGAATGTTGTTCTTAATAATTTTTCCACTAGACGGAAGAGTAACAAGCATTGCTCACGCTATCTTACTGAAATGCCTCCCAAATTCTATTTCCTCTGTCTGTGGATGTGTATGATTGACAGTAATGAATGAGAAGATGGTCAGAACTGCAGAAGGGAGGGGAGAGAGGAAACTGGAAAGGTAGAAATGGTCTTCATTAGTTCTACCTCAGTTCTCTGTATGGAAAATATTTGGGGACTCATTGCTCCTCTTTGGCTTTGAAGTTGTTTACCCTTTGTTTACATTACAACATGGGCACTTGGCCTCTTTTTTAATGTATTGCTTTTGGCCATTTGAACTTCTTCTGTTGATAGATCTCTGTTCAGCTCAGTGCCCCATTTTATAATTGGGTTGATTAGCCTTTTACTGTCTAGTTTCTTGAGTTCTTTATATATTTTGTAGATCAGACCTTTGTCAGTTGTTGGGTTGGTGAAGATTTTCTCCCATTCAGTGGGTTGCCTTTCTGTCTTAGTTACAGTGTCCTTTGCTTTACAGAAGCTTCTCAGTCTCAGGAGGTCCCATTTATTCAATGAGGCCCTTACTGTCTGTGCTGCTGGGGTTATACGTAGGAAGTGGTCTCCTGTGCCCATGTGTTGTAGAGTACTTCCCACTTTCTCTTGTATCAGGTTCAGTGTGTTCCGACTGATATTGAGGTCTTTAATCCACTTGGACTTGAGTTTTGTGCATGGTGATAGATATGGATCTATTTTCATTCTTCTACAGATTGACATCCAGTTTTTCCAGCACAATTTATTGCTTGCTTTATGTGCCCTAGCAGGGTTGTACAGTGGGGGAATGCTGTCTTTGGGGCAAAATGGTAACCATTCCTCATTCAGTCACATGGCAGATAAGGGACTTTAAGCACATTATGTAACTTTTCATATTCTTAGGGTTTTTTTTTTGTTTTTCCATCAAGTTTGGATAGAGATAATTCATTCACAATATGGGCAGTCAAAGCTTAAGCAATGTTCATAAATACTACTCCCCTATAAAACAATAGTAAATATTGTTATAAGAAATTATTTTTATTTTAGAATTCCTAGTTGGAAAAAGGTCATATTTAATATATTCGCTATCTCAGAACTGTTACCATCATCTTCATGTGCTAGCCAAGTGGTTCTCAAGGTTTCCACATTCCATCCAAGATACAGTTATCCAAGATGCTCCTTAAGAGCAGAAGCAAGTTCCTCTCTCAAGCATCTTGATTATTATGCTCACAAGAGGATAAACCCAGATTCATAGTTTTTGATGCTCTGACTCTCAGTAAAAGGGATGGTGTCCAGAATTGTCCAGCAGCCTTGAATTCAATCTTCTGGTGGTAATTACTATTTCCTAAACTCTTCCCATGGGAACTGACTGTGACTTCCTGTTTCACAAATACCCCATCCCATGCTTATGTATGACAAGTCCAATTTTAGATATATTCCTAGGTAGCTTGTTTGATGGTTTCTAGGAACTATTGCCCTTTCTTTTACTGTAAATTATTTTTATCAAAGTCTGAACTGTCTCATATCTGAGAAATTTCTATAAAAAAGCAGACAATCATTAGATTGCATTTGAGATACCAGTTTCGACCATGAGATCTTACTATCAGGAGAAGTACAACCTTTAAAAAATATCCTTGTCCTTTGAGGAGGCACGCCGCTTCTTAAGATCGGAAAGAAAATTTTACTGGAGTATGGATTCTGGGCTGAGAATTTGTTTATGGTGCCATTCACTTATCATTAGAACTTACATAAAATCTTGAAATTTACTTTCAAATCAAAGTTTCATAAGAAAGTAGACACTTCATTAAAACATATCTCTAGACTAACTCATTCTAATAAAATATAGTCAATTAAAACCCCACAATGTGTTTCAATGTCGTTTATGGCTTTCCTTATTTAATAACAAACCAAAAGCAAGGAACTTCACCAGTTTCTAATTTGTTTTGCTAATTTTGAAATTAAGGGACAAGTTTTCAGAATTGTAACCTTCAACTATCCATCTAAAAATATTTTTGAAGACAGAATGTGACATTTCTTTACATGCCATATGTAAAGACAGTACATGCTTCTGCTTGAGGGATGTATTTTGGGCTATGTTAAATGACTCTATTAATTACTAATATACACTAGATTATGTTGCATATGTCTCTTAAAATACTTCTTACAGCTCAATATGTGCTATTCCTTGAACTTATGGTCGCTATGCTTGTATGTTAAGAGTCAAGGATTGAAAGTATCATTATAAGAGTATGCTCTTATTACATGCTTGAGAATATCCACTGATGAGCAGCATATGGGTCCCCGAAATTACTGTTAAATGAATTGTAGCATTCATTTGCCAAACGAATGGACGGTGTATTTTAAAGGAACACTATCCATTCAGTTCCACTCAAAATGACTAGACCCAGTAGCATTTTTGAGGGTTCCAAAATCTTAATGAGAAAAAAAAAAGATGATGTTTTTGAGATGTAGGATGTGAATATTGAAGAACCAATTACTCATTTCTTCACGGTGGCTTCTTTGCTGATATGAAACCAAATATGTTACAGTTAGAAGATTCTATATTAGAGTCGGTCTCATATCATTCAGCACGAAACTAACCACTTGAATGCTTTATTTATTTTTCTTTTATCATATCTTATGCATAATCTAGGGTCATGTGATAATGTGATCATGTTTCCTAGATAGGGGAAGATTCACAGCCACATAGATCTACATCTGAACCCTATGTGCACCACTTTCTACATCTAAAAGGAGGATTCTGTACCCTTTCCCTCAGCCTCTGATACCTTGTATGCATCTAATGATACCTCCCTTATGGTGAGGTTGAAAGGTTTCATTAGACTTCAAAATGCTTAGATTGCTAGTTCACACATCACACTGTCATTGCAGGTTCTGATAAATACAGAGCCCAGCTGCTACACAGGTGTTCAGAAACAGCTGTGTTTTGTTTCTGTTTTGTGCAGTCATGTGTGCTTCTTCTTACAGATGGATACACAACTGATGACATCGAGTTTTACTGGCGTGGCGACGATAACGCAGTCACCGGGGTGACGAAGATCGAGCTTCCTCAGTTCTCCATTGTAGATTATAAACTCATCACCAAGAAGGTGGTCTTCTCTACAGGTTTGTAGCGGGAGGGGGAGCTTCAGCAAAGAGAACTTCCGCACATTTTTTTTTTAAGGATTTCTTTTCTTGGGACTGTTTCCTAGGAACCAACAATATAGAAGCCATCCTATAGCTCCTATTTCCCAAGAGGTCCTATAGTACCATTCAGAAACACACAGGCATTTTCTGAAGGCAATTTCAAGCAGAGCCCAGCCCTTCTCCTCTTTTCTCATGTGCCATAGACAAAGAAAGGCAGAGGAATTAGGATCTGGGTCAGACATAGGTGGATTTTTTTATCACATTTTTTTGTCAGTTATTATGGTTTGCCAAGGACCGTTCATTCAGAACCTATCGCTGTAGCAAGGCATCCTTTAAACTCAGTAGCCTAGAAGGTCACATTTTTCTTAGAGCATGGGATTTGTATTAGCTCCACTTATTCTTTGTGCTAAGGTCTTTCGAATGTTGAGATGACCTGAGCCCCCTTATCACTTTGTCTCTTACATCTGAGATGTTGTGGGTGGCCACATGAGCTCACGTGCAAAGGATATAGGAAAGCATTCATTTGCTAGAAACTTCTTTGGTGAAAGTAATAAGCTTGCTGGAACATTTCTCTTGGTGTTTTTTCTTGTTGAAATGAATCCAACGGGCACATAAATAACTATTGCTGTAGATTTGGAGGATCGACTTTCTGCTAAGGATTCAGAAACTTGTAGAGCTGTAAACCACTTTCAGCAAAAGCTGTGTTGTGATTTGTGAAACTGCAAAGTTGTCTCTAGCCTAAGAGGGGTGAAAAAAAAAAAAAACCAGCCTAGAAGCTTTCTATAAGTCTGAGGTTTCTCAATCCCCATAACAAGGTGGAGAGGACTTCCTTGTCTTGATTGCTTTCTACAGTGTGAACCTTTTACTCTCCAGGGCTATACACTCCTACGTGTCTTTTCTGTAATGTTAACTCCCCAGGGGTCTACAATCAAAGGACAAAAATGTGGGGTTTTTTTATTGGGGGCGGGGGCTGTTGTTCAGGTTTTTTGATAGCCTAGCACATACTAAGAGCTATGTCCCTAGGATGACATTGATTCTTTATATCCAAAAAAAATCTTATTTAAAAGTGGCAATTCTCTACATTTTCGTGCGTGATTTCTTTTTTTTTCTTTTTTCTTTTTTTTTTTTTTTTTTTGACTAGTGGTTCTCAGCGTTCCTAATGCTGAGCTCCTTTAATACCGCTTTTCATGTGGTGGCCTCCAACCATAACATTATTTCCATTGCTACTTCATAACTCTGTTATATATACTTCATAATTCTGTTACCGTTTGGAATAGTAATGTAGGCATATGCTTGTGGTTTCCAATGGTCATAGGTGACCCCCGTGAATGGGTCATTTGACCCCTAAAGGGGTCATGGCTCACAGTTTGAGAATCACTGCCTTAGACTATAATACAAGCAATTAAATGGCTGAAGAAACAAAAAAAAAGAGGAAACAGAGTGAAAACCCATGCAGAGGCCTGGGTTCTGATCACAGACAGATGATGCCTACTATGGTTTCTGAAGATGCTTTTACTGCCGTTAGATCCTACAGCCTTATTCTTACATTTACAAAAAAAATACAGGCTAAATGTAGTAAGAGTTGAAAGAGGGAACCAAGTGACTTCTAGATTGCACTGCCCTCACAGTTACAGAAGATTAATGTTTTGGATGTAACATATGAGGCTGATCAGGAAGAGCAAAGAGTCTTTAGCTGCTGGTAAGAACAGAATGTATTCCACACTTGAGTCTTACTGCTCATTAAAACACCTGGGATCGCAGACCAGATTTACAGGAAAAATATTCTCCTCACCAGTAGCTAAAATTACATTTAGGGAAGATGTACAAACTTTTTATGGGCCTTTACTGGAAAGTAACCTATAACTATTGATTGATAATGATGATGTTCTCAAATTGCCTTTCTAGGTTCTTACCCCAGATTGTCCCTCAGCTTTAAGCTGAAGAGAAACATTGGCTACTTCATCCTGCAGACATACATGCCGTCCATTCTTATTACCATCCTCTCGTGGGTCTCCTTCTGGATTAACTATGATGCTTCCGCTGCACGAGTTGCATTAGGTAGGCCGTCTGCAAACTGTGGAGTCCTCTGTCTCCATCCTCCCTATTTCCTTCTATCCTTTTCTCCCATCTCCCTCTCTGCCTGTTTCCTTTCTCCTTCCCCATGTATGCATGCACGTGAGCACTTGTGTTTGCATGTGTGTGAGCACATGAACTTTTCTCACCCAGAATTTTGTGGTACACAATAAGACTGGACTTTTCCCATTATAGGAGTTCACCACGAGACTTTGATGATCATCATCTGATTTGGCATTAAATCAATTAAACACAAATTAAAATTCTTCCATGTCAAAATCAGTTAATGGTAGAGCTGTTAGTAATGAAACTGGTTTCAACAGTTTGATAGTCTTATCAAAACATATTTCACGTAATAATTCTTGCATAATTGCTCAATTTGTCTCCATGCTTCTTCACCTGTGAAATGTTTCCTCTTATCCCACCCCCAGCATGGAGTTGTGCTATATAACAATTGTATAAGCAAATTTTTTTTCTGAGGATTTATCCACATTTCTAGGCAGCATAGAGAAGGCAGGAGATGAAAGAGTCAAAATGCTGGGGCATCCTTTGTAGTCCTGCTCATCATATGCCTGACTTTGGTTTTCTGTCATAATACCAGATGTGAACAAATTACATCCCGTAACGATTTTTGTGAGATTCAAGTAAAGTAAATTGTATGACCTCTTGCACAGATTTTTTTCCCTTTAAAATAAGGGCTTGTTTGACTTCATCATAAGATCCTGATTCAGCGATTACACTCACAGAAAAGCCATTCATTTGCATTCAAAAAAACATTTGCTTGGCATCTAACATGTGCTGACACAATGAGGTAATGAAGTTGCACTTTTTCTTTTTTGAACATTACATTCTATGGTAAGAGATAGATAAGAGGCATAACAGCAAGGGGATGGAAGGAGTCTTGATGGCCACTAAGAAGAGAATGGATAACGAAAATGTGGTCCATGTACATAAATAAATTTTATGCAATTGTGAAACATGAAATTATAAAACTTGAGGAAAAATAGATTAATCTGGAAATTACATTGTGATGTTCTCAGAAAGAAAAAATGTCGCTCTGTTGTAATCATATGGAAACCCTAACTTCTAATATTTGTGTGGAGAAGTATGTGCGTGGATGTGAGAGAAACTGGGAATGTAATCGGCAGATGTCCAAAAGAGGTCTTGAGAACAGGGAACAGCAGAGCGCGCAGGAAAGCAGAAAGTTGGGTACTAGAGTAGAAAGATAAAAGTGAGACAGAGAGCTGGAGGAGAAGATGGAAAATGAGTAACAAAAATAATGTTTGAAAATGTCATAATTAAACCTAAAACTTTGCCTGCCAATTAAAAAAAAATGTAGAGCTAGAAACTGAAGAGCCACAAAACATGACAGCATTAGGCAAGTCTACAGGGGGAAGTAAGCAACATTTTGTAGCTATGCCTGGGAGTGTTGCCATGATCAAGGCTGACCTCCCCCAGAAGGTGTTACAGGAGAAAAAACTTCAAGAAAATAAAGATCCAGAAAAATGTCTGAGTGGTGACAGTCTAAGACCCTGACAAAAGCTCAGGGGTTGGAACAAATCAGGGACATGATTGGGACCCTGCAGAGGACAGGATGGAGAGAAGTCAGAGGGAAAGAGAGTAGGCGACAGGAGACTAAGGGGTTGTGAAGGGATTCAGAGGAGTGGCTGAAAGCTTTACCTTTATTCTACATGAAATAGAGACATTGAATAGGTAAGAAATAGAGTATCATTTCAATTTTATGGTGGTAGTATTGAATGCTGTTAGGTTAGGTTGAGATGGATCCAGGATAAAGGTAGGAGAGAGGAGCAGTGACCTCCAGGAATAAATTAAGTCTCTGTCATGTGTGTTCTTAGAATCACGTACATTATTTGTGTAGACTAACCACAGACACAATTTCTATTTATTAGTTTTGTGATAGTTTCCCCTAAGCATTGAGAGATCTGTTGGAATAATGTCCTTATGTAATCATATCTCTGTGCTGTTTTAGTGTTCATAAAATGCTAATAAAGAAATGGAAGCGACACATCTTGTTTTCATAAAGTAAAATTCTAGTATCTGTTGTGTATCTATTGTACAAAGGAGTAACTTATTGATGCTTAAGAGAAATGCTTAAAATAGCTTTGTATTTGAACCCTTTATTATTAGGTATGCAAGTATTTTCAAATGACATTCAGATTAATATAAAAGTCAGAAATGACAGGTTTTATAAAGTATAATATCGAATATATAGCCTGTAGTATAAATGATTAGGAGGAAAAGGGAATTGAAAGTGTCTCAAAATGATAAAGAACATCTGAAATCTGTGAGAAAACACCTTATCTACAGTAAAACAGGCCCAGACTTACATTCATGCAGGTACTCATGAGGTTCTACTAAAAACAAAATGAAAACCATTAAGGAGACAAACCTAAATGAGAAGACTGCACCAGAGAGTCTTTGGAAAATGAAATAGAAGTTTTGAGGTATGATTTAGGATAGCTTGGAAGGTGAAGGTTTGTGACATCTGAGATCAGATGGTGAGAGTCCAACTTCCCACCATTGTAATTACGGCCTCTGTCTGGGCTTCATCTGTTTTCTTCTCATTATTTTGCTACAAAGCTGAACTGTATCATACGGAGGACTCTGAACACCCAATGGTTTTACCTTCGAGTGACAACTTTGAGACTAACTGCTCTCCACTCTTAGAAATGCCTGCTAACTGAACAAAAGATTATAGCCAGACCCAGAGTGACCTTTCCAATAAGAACCCCTATAATTTATCTGTGTCTCATCGCATGTGTTACGTGGTTAGCTGTCCAACTAAAAACATGAAGCCCTCTGCTTCCAGCCACTGTAACCCTCTGCTTCCAGCTTCCAGATATTTGCACTAATTGGTGTTTCATCTGTATAATGTATTCATAGATCTCAAAACTATCTCTGAGGTTTTACTTTTTCACTTTTAACTATTTCTAGGGATTATCATGGAAACCATTCAACTGGTATTCTTTGTCCCTACCTTAAACTGTGTTCCTTCATTTCCCATATTGCTACCAGAATGGTTTTCCTAAATTCAGGGTGTCCAGATTTATGCTTCCCTGTCGTCTGCATCTGAGCAGCAGCAGCAGCAGCATTTTGTGTTCTCGTTCATTGAACAGGCCCTCATTTGACCCACATTCTTCTCTAGTGTATCTCTGAGATCTTGAAATCCTGCTAATGAGCTGTAAACTCTCTCAGACCCAACCTTTACATAAAGTTTTTCCACCATGATGTCTGCTGTAACCTTTCATCTCCAGTCTCTGGTTGTCTGGGAAACACCCACTCATTCTTCAGCAATCACCACTAAAATCTACATTTTGCCTCTGATACATCAGGAACTAGGGTCTTCTTCTCTGTACTATATTTGCCCCAAACAGATAAGTCTATCATAATATTTAATTCATATTTTCAATCCCCTACTTCATAAATAATTACATGTAGAAAAATACAGTTAATGAAAATTTCTCGTAATAATTCATGTTCATTCTAGGTTAACTTATGCATATTTCCAGGGAGGGCCACTAGGCTGTGTGATAAATTGCCATCAAATATATCAGTATATATAAATAAATAATACTAGCTTTTCCAGATTTTGTGAGAACAGTAAGGAAACAGAGAAGGTATGACTCTAATTTTTTTTCTTTCTTTTCTTTTTTTCATTTTTTCAGGTATTACAACTGTCCTAACAATGACCACAATTAACACCCACCTCAGGGAGACCCTCCCTAAAATCCCCTATGTAAAAGCCATCGACATGTACCTAATGGGGTGCTTTGTCTTCGTCTTCATGGCTCTTCTGGAATATGCTTTGGTCAACTACATCTTCTTCGGGAGAGGACCCCAGCGCCAAAAGAAAGCAGCTGAGAAAGCTGCTAATGCCAACAATGAGAAGATGCGCCTGGATGTCAACAAGGTATGTTCACAGGGTAAATAGTTCTCATTGCTTAAGCTTTTAGAGTAATGCTAGAGAGCCTGATAGACTTCTTAACACACAAAGAAACAGGGCCTGAAGAAGAAAATGGTAAGATCCTCCCCAATTACATAGATAATAAGTGAGAGGCAAAATTGACTCCCTAAATGTATCAACCAATGCTTGGATACCCTTTCTGTTAATAATAGAGATGCTCAAACTTCATTACGTGGTAGCCACAGAGTTTGTTTGTTCATATATGAGAATCATATGCTATAATTACTTTACATTTTTCTAAATTTACTTACTTTAATTTAATAAATTTAAATTTATTTAAAAAGAAAACTTTATCTTGCTCAATAGTACTTGCTGGTACATGACATGAAATATAAAATAAAACTGCATTATTAAATTGTTGCTTATGCTAAATGTAAGCTCTGGACCTGAGATGCACAAACTCTTTGATTTAAAATAGAAATAATCAACTTTAGAAATGTGTTAATTACCTACCAGCAACAACTTGAGATGTTTTTCCCCTCCAAGTAATCAAAATGATAGGAAGAAGTAGGGAAGAGAGGAGTAATTTTCTCAAGTGACAGGGATTACTTAAGGCCTTGCCTACATACCACTTACCCAAGAGCACTTCCCTGCATGAGTTCCCCACCCCCAGCCCCCATCTTCATTAAGTCAAGCAGGATCAAAGACTTCCTACACAAGTTTACACACTGTCTTTTCTTGAAGTCAGATTTTCATCTCAGTGGAATGTCCGGAAGAAAATTTTTCAAAGATTGAATTCTGGGTTTCTCTTAAGCCTGGGAAATCATACATTTTAAAGGTTCACTGGATTATTCTAGTTTGTAGTCCGGTTTAGGGATCCTTTCTTCAAGGGATTTGTAGCAGTCTCAATAGAGGTGAGCAAGCTACTTTGCTCCAAATGTAAGTTCATCTAGTTTACTATTGGAGTGCTCTCTGCCCTAAACAGAATAATTATGAATGCATTTCTTTATTTTCCATGTTTGAACTTTTTGAGATAAATAAAATAATGCTTCCATTTAACATCCACCCCAGTGTTTATGAAATAGAACATAATACGGGACTTTTAAATAGATAATTACAAGTGGGTTAATCACATTCTTCTTCCCCAGGATATCAGTATGAACTAGTTAATAAGTCCCATATTAAGAAGAATATGTTTAAACCACCTGTCATTATTAACCAGAACAATAATTAACTGGGTTACTAGTATTTTAATATCTTTGACTTCAGTTGAATTGCAAATACAGAACATAAGAGAGTTCCACCATAGAAATTCCTGAGTCATGATCTCAATTTAACCATGGGTCTGATATTTATTTGTAGACTAATTTTAATTAAAGACTCTTCTTTCTCAGGTGAAGATATTTATAATGATAGATTTTATATGTAATCTCTGAAAGCCAATAAGCATGGAGTTTAGAAACTGTCGACTTACAATCATGCTCAGGCATTCCATAGCTGGAAGCTTTAAGCTGGTAGACAGCAAACAGCCAGCATATTGATATGGCTTTCTCAATTTGACAAACGAGAGTACTGTTAAATCTGCTTCATGATTGCCAGATATTGCGTCCTAAGAAAAGAAAACAAAAAGAATAATGAATAAGTCTGTCTTTTAGGACTGGGGTTTGAAATGAGTTTAAACAATTGCCTGATGCAAGGCTGACTCAAGAAGATAACATCTGATCCCTTTCGCCTTCATCTACCTGATCTTTTCATGCTAATTTGCATTTAAATGATAGATTTAAGATTGAAGCAATGGGGATTATAAATAAATGGAACCTAAAGGAGCCTTCCAAAGTTTTAAATTCAATTGTTTCCAGATGGAATCAGGGAAAAGCTCATGGGATAGACACTCTTTGGTAATGAAAATCCATCCTCCTGGCTGAAGGTGTCAAAGTGCAGATCATAGCAAAGGAGAGAACACAAAAGGATGCCAAGATGGCTCCTAGTACAATGGTTCTCAAAATAGGAGAGTTTGTCTTCCCAGAGAAGTTTTGACAATGTCTAGAGACTGCTTTTTGTGGTCAAGCTTGAAGATGGCTGTTGCTACTGGTGCTCCATGTGAGGCAGCCAAGATGTCTGTAAACATCCCATGGTACCCAGAGTAGATTCCCACACTCTAAGACTCATCTGGCCCAGAGCACACAACTTTCCTACTTTAGACCTGAGAAACAGTGTCCTTCTTTGCTCCCCTTTATATTCAAATGGGTTTCATTACTCTTTGTCCACATAGTTTGACCATCTTATTTGACCAGAACCCCAGTAAAGATATCAAGCTCAACAATTCCATATCAAGTTTTGAATCTATCAGGTTTAATATTTGGCCATATGTGACAATAAAGAGTCAACCTGTCTGACCTTCTATTCCTCATTTGTAAAGTAGGGTCAATTCTTCTGTATTCATGTTATTATAAAGACATTATTTGAAGAATATTATGATAATGTGGAAAGAGGGTAAGAGAGTCCTCATTACCTAGTAGCCATTTATTATGTATATATAAATAATAAATGGTATTTTAAGCACTACTGCTTTCAAATTAAATAGGCCATCTACATACTGATTGGTACTGATTCCTTTGGTTTTACATGGGCCAGCATCCCCAAAATAGAGTACTACCTAAAAAGGAATGCGTGTGTGTGTGTCATAAATTACTATTATAGAGAGGGGGATCACCTTTACAATGGTTGTCACCTATAAAATTCCAGCAAACCTATTGTGTCAAATCCTGTCAGTCATTTCATAGGGCAGCACATCATTCTGATTAGATTAAGACAAAAAGATGCCCACTTAGCATTTTGAATGCTGACTTTTCTTTCATCCCAGTAGGAAAGGTCAGAGGAGATCCATATTCAGCTCTGATTATGCAATCCTCCCTTTTGTGTCAGTATCATACATAATGCCAGTATTTCTTATCAGAAATGTCCCTTCTTTTCAGGCATAATTCTAAGGTTATTTTCCCCCAAGATTGGACACATAATCAGCTAAGTATTGTTATCTCCTGTAGCAAAGAAAAGAATCAGCTGCTAGAGAGGGATTAGGTTTTTTTCCCCCTGCTTTGATGGCTTCCTAGAGATGGAAAAGCTGGGTCTGTTCAGCTGTGGTGATTCTAAACTGCACAGTCCCAAGGTCAGGGCAGAATGAGACAGGGATGGTCAAAAGGGGAAAGATTGGGTTGCTTCTATTTTTCCTTTTCTTGTCTTTATTACCTGCTGCTAATTTTTTTTGAAAATATTTTTCAGCTTTCAGAGGACTTCCCATCCTGTCACTTCAAGGACACTCAGAACACAAGGTTAATAAGTACAATGTGCAATATCCATAATTACATAGGAAAGGTAACCAAGGCCCTAGTACCAGCTCTGGGTCTCCTTCGCCACACTAGAGTACATTGCACAGAGCTGACAAAAGCAAAGAAAAATTACAACTCTCATTTTGTATTAGTCCATCTGTGCAATCAACTTACTAAAACTCCAGCAACCTTCACATGAAAATCCATAACTGAGTGCCTCTTTCATCTCCTCTTATGTAATAATCTAAATTGTATAATACTAAGAATTTAAAATCAACTTCAAACCAACAAGAGACCTACTGATATTTTCCCCCAAGTCCTCTGCAATAATTCAAAACATAAAATACGCCCCCCCCCCAATAAATAATGAAAAAAAATATACAAAATCTATCTTGGTATGAGCAATTGCCTATCTGTTTGTTCTTGCAGGCATGTTGTGTGTGTGTGTGTGTGTTTCCTGATAGAATTTGCTTTTAGTTGGTTTGCTCTCATGGCTAAAGTTTTCAACCCCTGCTTTAAGCTTCCCAGTTCTTTTCTGCTTGATGCTAAGTATTTGCATATTTGAGAATCTAGTCATTCGTGCTTTTTCAGCCTTGGTTACTGCACACTTGAAATCTCTCCAGTCTGCTTTTCGTATTGTTAAAACTACAGCCACGGGTTTTCTAAATAAAACTCTTCTAAAAAGCATCCCCATTTGAGGTTCTTTATTCTGCATTAGGGTGTCGTGACTCTGTACTGTCCCTATGACTTTGCTGAGTCTTTTGTAATGCAAAGCCAGTGAGACTTTTCCAATGTACTCCTACTGCTTAGAATTCACTCTGAAAATTCTTTTGAAAACCGGCTAGACCAGCTAATCAACATTCACCCATTCTTCATTGGTATTTGTCTTTTTCCTTATGCATCCTGAAGACCAATAGCATTTATATATATCAAGCTCACCTGAATTACTGGTGCCATCAGCCAACTCAATTAGTAAATTCTCTACTTTGTCTTCCAGATATTTTATAAAGATATTAAACAAAATAGGACCCAGTATCGATCCTTGTGGGACCCTACTGGAAACCTCTCCCTAACCAGGCAGACTACCAATTATGATTTCTCTGTTAATACTGCTAGATAGCCAGTTTTTAATCCATTTATTTCTATTTTTGTTTGGGACAAATTTGTTTTGCTCTTCCCTTTAACATAACGTTTGGCAACTAAAAAGATAATTCGTTGGTGTCTATCCACATATTTGAGTCTAAGATAAATATCCCCTGAAGACCTACTTGAGTTTTCAATGAAGTACAGCTGTGTGAGCATCAGCTTTAAGAAATTATTTCAGTGCTAGAGAATAAGGCAAGTAGATTGAATTTGGACATGCCTATTGTTTAGATGGAGAGACAGCAGTGTCACGACATAGCTTTACTTTTCTTTGGTTTTGGTGTTGAGTGGTTTGAATACTTGAGTGAGTAAGAAGTTAAACTTTTCTTCTGTTGTTTGGAATATTGTACTGCGGGAGTGCCTTCCACTCCTTCAGCCAATAGCCGCTGAAGTACCAGCCCACTGGGGCGTGGTCTATTGCTCTTTAAAAAAGAGTGGCAGTTCCTCTGCTTGCTCTCTTGGTTCTGGCTCTTGGTTCCGGCTCTTGCTCCAGCGACTAGACTCCTTTCCTGACTGTTGGTGTTCTGTAAGTTTTCCCCTAAAATAAATACCCCTGTAAATGCAAACTGGTTTGGGATTGATTCGCACATTAACATTGAAATTTAAAACCTTCACATTCTGTCCTAAATTATTTATTTGTAACGAAGATTGATTGCTATATTTGCGTCAAGTCCTTGCTTTATTGTTATTGGTTTTTATAAATAAGCATTATTTTGTCAGGCCTGGCACCATTTTCATGAGAGGTAAAGAGTGTAACAGAAACTATTCTGTCTCAAAACTTGTGATTAACCAAACCTCAATTTATTTTTACTAATACTTAGAGTTGGGGTTCTGAATCCCCATGTGTCTGTGACCTTAACTGACAACTGGCCCATCATACTACCTTCCATATAAAAGGAAGAAAATGAACACAGCAATGATCAGGTTCCTACCTCATACACCATGAGTCTATTGGCAAATTTTGGTTTCATGTTTTAATATCCACTTCCTGATGGAGATGAAGTGTTACTGACTGCTTTTCAGCATCTCCTGTGAGGACTTGATGTCTAAGGGGGTTCCAATATTGTATCTTTGAACTGTCTCCCTTTTCCTTAATTTTACTATTTTGGCTTCAAGGGTATTGGCATTTCATTCTTTAGTCTTTTTGCAGAGGCACAGGTGTGAGTGCTATATTAGATGGCTTCTTTGTGTTGGTATTTCATTGCTTTTATACTTGTTATTACTTGTTAGGAATTTACCTGGGAAATGGCAATAGATTGTAGGGACCTGAGACATTTGATAATTTGTTCTTAATCTCTTCAAAATTTTGTAACCTATCACATCTGTCCTTTCGGGCTATCATGATTATGTTGTTTTTGCTGTGATTGTTGAACTTCAGTTACTCTTGTTGACGTAAAAGTGCTCTGGTTTGGCCCAGCACCATGCTGGGAAGAATGGTAATCATTTTGAAATAAAACACTATGAAAGTTGGCATTTAGATGGTTATAATAATGTTGGAAGAATGTTGCATTTTTCAAAAAAAATTATGATTATCATAATGATTGGTTAGAACACCAAGAAAATTCAGAACATCTTCTCACCATGAGAATATTTTGAAGAAATTTTGCCTCTTGTGTGTCAAGTTGTTTAAGTATTAGCTTGAAAGAGTTAATACTCTATGACCCAATGATCAAGACCCTTGTTTTTCAAGATCTGATTTCATATACCTGGTTAAAGAGAATATTCAACAATATTCAATGAAGTATGAAGTTTTATGTTTTCTGATCATGTGTGTTTTGTGTGTTTCCCCGGTTATGTCTTTGCTCTCTCCTTTGTGTCTTTGTTCTAAGTATGTATTCAGAATTTGAAATATAAGTTAACACTGGAGATTTTAAATAATGTTTTGTTTAATTAGAGCTATAATATGCTAAATTATCACAATGTTCTGACAATCACAAGAAGCAGGGAGATGCTGTAGATTAGAGTCAGACGAGAAAGGGCCCACAGTGTGTTATTGTCCTTAAGAACTGTGTGACATTGGATATTTTAATATTTTAAGTTTTTTGGCTGAAAACTGAAGTCATTAATTTCTGCTAAGTCACTGAGAGCTGCTAAAATGACGGAGATAATTATGCTAAGGGCTTATGTAGTACCAGGCTAAGAGCACCCAGTTAAAACTGGCTAGTAATGTTGGGATGGTAGCAAGCAGAGTTTTCAATAATGGTTACACCTGTAACCCCACTCACAGGTCAAACCATGTAACCATTATTAATACTGCCTTTGGTTCAAGCTTAGTGACTCTTTTCTGGAGATAATGATGTTCTACCATCAGCTAGATTTCTAGCTTTCATATTTTCAAGTATAAATCAAATAATGATGGCAATATTTTACTGAATGCCAACTCCTCAGGGGTGTCTACTACAAACAACTATAGAATAAGAATCCTATTGCTAACAAACTTTGTATACTGTTAGATCATGATACAGAAAATAGAATATTTTTGGTCCAGAAGGAAATCATATTGATTTGCGTATCACTTCCTAGATTATTTAGTATGTAGTTTTCATAGCTACCGGCACCATAGAGGAGTGTGCTGTGTGCTCATTTCACCTCTAAATTGAGAAGAAGAAGAAGAAGAAGAAGAAGAAGAAGAAGAAGAAGAAGAAGAAGAAGAAGAAGAAGAAGAAGAAGAAGAAGAAGAAGAAGAAGAAGAAGAAGAAGAAGAAGAAAGCAGAAAACACATGTTCTACTTGGCCCAATTAAGTATTAGAGAGAAGGAAGAACAAAATAACCCTAGATCCAGTTTATCTTCTGTCTAAAAAGAATAAAGCCAAAAATTAAAATAAAACAAACAAGCAGCACTCGCCTCCAACTGAAGCACTGCATAGCAAATATATGTAGACAAAGCCAGGGTTAATGCAAGCCGAGCTCAGAGACATCTGCCTAAGCTCTAGGCAAACAAGTAGGAAAGCCCAATGGCAAAATTTGAACCAAGATGAGGAATACAAACCTGAAACAGCATAGAAACACCGGAAGAGGTAAATGAGACCAGGGAGAAGGGGCCAACAAGCAAGAGACAAACATGGTGGGGATGGGGAGAATCTAACTGAAAAAAAAAAAATTACATCTCAAGATCAATTCTTATGATAAGATTTTCTTTGAAGATTAAAATGCAGAAGAAACAAAAGATCAGAAATGGCAACAAGAGCAGAGTAAAGGGAGGGACAGGGCTGAGTGGTTTGAGGCCCTCTAACCCATGAGCTAAGTTTAATTCTAAGACCCGCATGGTATACAAAGAGATGTGATTTCTACAAGTTGTCCTCTGATTACCTCACACAAACACACACCCCTACACATGCACATATACTGCTTCACACACACACACACACACACACGCACACACACACACACACACACACGGTGGGGAGAGAGAATAAGGGAGGCTGGGGAGCAGGTCTGGGGAGTGATCTTTCTACCGGCTAGAAATGAGTGTGGAAAGAATGTTACATTTACATCAACTAAACCTAATAGGATCACTATAAAAAGGGTAACCCCTGACTTAAAAAAGAATATCTATCCCAGACAGTTTCTACACTAAATCCTTTTGAGCATTAAAATGTAGTTATCTTCAGCTGTACTAAAATTCTTGCAGGACATAGCAGGAAGGAAAACTTACAAATGATCTAGTAATTCACCATAAATAAATAATGTCAAACCTCTATCAAAATTCTATAAAGTAAACGATATATAGATTTACTTCAACAATGAATATCAATGGGATGGAAAAATCCTTAGATAGATGTATCCAGAGATGGTCCAGTCTAACTTTAAGATGTAATTTATCTTGAGGTACAAGGATAATATGGATAAAAGTTGAAACAGTGAAATTTTTCTCCCCCTGTAGACACCAAAAAGACTGTTTGTAAAACTTCAGTCTTTATTGCTGGCTACAAATAAAAAATAGCTTAATAAACTGACAATCATATCTCCACAAGAAAGTAGATTAGCATTGTACAATAGTGTTCAATTTTAAAACAAATGATCAACTCCTGACTTAGGGTGGAACACATAAAATATGAACATTTAGTTTCCCATTCTTCCTTATGCCTGTATTTATCCATAGACAAACTATTTTACAGTTTTTTTTTATACTGATAGGCTTTCAGATTCTAGAAAATGAGGTAAAGTTTTTATCATCAGGAAACAATTTTCTTCCTGAGAAAACTCTGTAAGGTTTATGAAATGTTTATTGAACAAGAAAGAAGAGAAAGTATGTGTTCCATGAGCAGTTCTGGGAGACAAGAGCTGGCATCAAATTTTTATTAACCACATTACTATTAATATTGAATTATTTCAAAACAAGAAAAAAATGCAACACTTCCAGCAAGTTCCTTTTCGTGTTTCTAAGATAATTCAGGATTGGTATGGCCTCTGCTGCAACAAGATTTGCAAGAGTGCTTGACGCTTATTTAATTTTGGCAACGGGTACCTAGGGAAACAATAAAAATGGACCCTGACATGATTTTTGAAATCTCCCTTGACAATAAACAAGCTTTCTAATTTCCTCACTTCTACCAGCCCTAACTACAGATATTTCTGGAAGCTGGACGAGCTCCAGCTTCCTCCCCTGAGTCAGGGGGTACTTGTGAAGGTTCCTTGAAGAGGAGTTGGGGGTAGAACCTCTGAGTCAGGAGAGGAGGAAGGCAGCCAGTCTCAGCTGCCACTTTGAGAGCACACTGTAATATCAAGTACCCACATATGAGCACTACTTCAAGGAATATTATTGTTATCGGTCATATTCATAAAGCACAATATAATAATACAGTATGCTCTGCTTAAATTGGGATAATTAATGTTTAAATACCTTTTTCATTATTTAATTCCTAGCCATTAAATAATGGCTCTTTTCTTCTAGTTCTTTCTACAGTGCACAAGGTGGTCATGAACTATCACATCTCTGTCGTGTTGGCTATTTGTACTTCCTCCTTC